TTAATGAGATCTCTTCTCCTTGTACATCGATTACACACCTCTTAATTACACACCTGAGAGTGCCCGGCTCCATAGGCACCCGCAGAAGGGTCCTTGCCTGCTCCAAAGTGCATATTACGTATGCGTATTTAATTTAAAAGAGAAATAAAAGGAGAATAAATTATTGGAGATCCAGGCCCAGAGTGAGTCTGCTGGGGGTCACCTGAGGAAGCAGCCCTGTGCCCCTCTGTAGGAGCCCCCTGGCCTGGGTGCCAAAACAGCCCAGGATGCCCATCCTGAGGTAGCCCAGGCCAGGCTAGACAGGTCCCATACCATAATCCGTGCCATGAGTAATGCTGGGGCTAAGAAGGTGCTGCGCCCTGTCCCTTCTTCCAGCCCGCCCTCTACTCCCCAGCCCAGCCTTGGGCCAAGCAGTAGTAGCCCTTCTACACCCAGGCTTGGTTCCAAGTTTGAAATTCGCGGTAATTTTGATCAGCTCTCAAAGATGTGGGTGCATGGAGTGTGTACAGAGCAGGGCTGGTCAGTGTGCCCCCAGCCCCCCTATCCCACCGGTGGTCCTGCGTGGGCCAAGAGGAATGGTGGCCTGACTGGGGTATCCCTTGCTCCTCCCAATCCCATGGTGGTTCCTTCCCCATGCCATGGTGTGCCGGCAGGAAAAGCTGGTCTCCACTTACATGCAGAGGAGTGCAAATCTCACTCTGCTTCTTCCTAATGTACAGAAGGTTGTTTACAAGCAAGTAATTTTTACAGCTGCTTTATATTGCTATAAGCGAGACAGCTTTATGATGTAGGAATGTCGTAAAGTGTGGTATGGAAGATCTTTAAAAAATATGTGCTTTTTAATGGTAGAGAAAAATGCTCTTTCTGGCTGGGGGCAGGGGATTGAGATGCAACCTGTAAGATCCAACCCTTGACACCAAATGCTGCAACTCTATAGAAGGGGCCTTACAAAGGTCCTTTGGCTGAATTCTCACTCCTAAACCATCCATCATTTCCTCCATATTCTAATGCAACTGTTGTCCTGGTTATGAGCAAAGCTTTTTGATCCTACGCAACTTTGATACAACATTTGTTTCCATGGCAATAGATCTTCGTGTTCTGAGTCCTGGAGATT